CCATCAAACCAGACAACCTAAAGGTCCATTGCCGAAATAAAATCACGGACGTAGAAGAAATTCAAGGACAAGGGATTCTGCAACTGGCCCCCGGTTGCAAGGCCATCACCCCCTCCACGCGTCTGACGGCAACCAGAGAAATCACGACCAACACAGCTTATCGTTATGCACCACCCGTATGGCTGAACCTTACTTCCATTTCCGGGCCAATCGCAGAACCACACCTACTGGCCATCGACAACCTCGCCAAGGAACTCTCCCTCGGAAATTCCGCCCAGAACTGGGAAAACCGCAAAAACGGAATGGCCTTGGCCCGACTGGAGGAAGAAGCCCACAGCATCCAGGTCCAGCAGCAAAACAAAATTCACCACCAGCTCACAACCTACCTTCCGGTGGGAATCTCAACATCCACATTCTTCATTGCCCTTGCTATAGGCGTCTACCTCATCCGCCGATGAGGCCGCCACACCAGGTCACATCATCGCACAGCACCAGAACCACCAAGGGAACCTCCAACCATCACCAGGACGATCCCCTTCAACCAGTTCATCTCAAACCCAATCCCGATCGCGCCACCGCCTCCCACGACAAATGGAATCATGGCCCTTCTGCCATTTAGAGGCTTAGATGTAGAACACTAACACTAACCAACGTGCCGAACCCTGTAATACCCGATCAACCATGCCCTCTGTAAGATGCAAGGAAGAGGAAAAAATCCCATTCAGATAACATTCAGCATCGCGAACATACATGGTTAATCGAGTAAATCGGGAGCCCTAGGTCGTAATCCGCGAAAGCATCCTCCATTGGGCGATGTTTCGTCTAAAAGGGGAGGTTATGTAGGCACCTTCCGTACCCTAACGTAGGGAAAACCCCTATTTTCCAATCACCGTAGCTAGCCATGGAAATCCGAATACGGAAACGCGATTAGGAAACTCTTGCAAAAGGATCCAACGAGTTCGTCGGCCAAACGGCTCCAAAAGTCATCGACCGACCCGGAGCGAACAACTTGATGACTTCGCAACGCATCAGCACGATTCAGAAACGCCACCCTCCCCTGGGCCCTAGGAAACCCCCACCAATTGGAACATCCTACTAATAAAACCAGCAGTCCGATCAAGACGGGGAGTCTTTAGTCAATTTGTCATAAGTCAGTGTCAGTTCTTACACTACACGTCAAGTATCATCGAAACTTTGAGTGGAGCTCCTGGTCCCCGGTTCTCCGTTCCTAGCGAGTCAGAGACCGAGACCGTAGGACTCCCTGCCAAGGACCACTATCCTGCGAGCTGCAGTAGCGCCATCCGGTACTCCAGCAATCCAACCATCGAGTCAGGACCAGACGGCGGCACTGCGACTTCCGTTGAACGGGAGGCTTCTAGATCTCCAACCCTAGGGCACGTCACGGGATGAAGGTGTTCACGCACAGTCATCCGACCGGGTCGATCAAAAGAGACTGTCACCGATTACGGCCGCTGAACAAGCCAGGTAGAGGATCCTTCGCAAGCTCGACTCATCCTCATTTTCATTCTAGTTTATTTATTAACCATTTATCTCCGACCAAAATCGAATTCTAACCCCTATCGCGATTTCCATGCCTTGCTCCGGTTAACCGGATAGATTAAGAATCCATCAACTTCCATTAAACTGCTGAGCTCGAATCTCAGCATCGCGAAACAGAATCACGCGAAGACCGCCATTAAAATAGTAAGAATTCCCGCATCAGCACACCGGCGTCCAGTAACCTGCCGCCGCTAAAGCGTGCTATCGCGACACCCGAACCGCCGCGACTCAGAAGTATATTAATCTAGAGAAATTAGGTCAAAGCACCTCGGGTGCCCTTCCAGCTGATTGTAGTTCAGACCTCACGTACGAATAAATGCAAATCTTAATACACTAGCTACATAGCCATTCGTTCGCATCCCTTTTTTATTCCTCACTCCCCTAGATCTCACCAGAGGAATTGATCTAGCCGCTCGGATAAATCTCCTCACAAACTTAAAATAATCGTTACGCGCAAGATTTGGATAATCTCCATCTGAATTACCCCGGCCTCGCATCCGCTCGGCCGCCCCGTAACAATAAAAATGATTCTACGGATAAATTTAAATAGCGGTATCCACTCCTTTAAAAGATATTTGGGCTGATGAAAAAAATACCGATTCAGTTATAAACATCGTGTACATATTGTACACCTTAAAATATTTATTCAAATTGTACAAAACTATTCTGCACTTAAGGGGTTGTTTACCCCCGGCAACGCTGTTAGTTGTGAAAATCCTGAAAGACGTCAACTTTATTTTTCAATTTTAAGCAAGAAAATGATTAGTCCGTAATTTATTTAATTTTATTGCAGATATTATATTCAAAAATGTTTGAAAAAATATCGTTTTTCTGAAATAAAATATAAGGGTTGCTACCCCCGAGGTCCGAATTACTGTCAGTAGATTCGCCTACTACAGAGACATATTTTGTACTTTGATTCATTTCAAAACATCGATTACAACTCCAGATATTTAGAAAAAACCGTTTTTGGGGGTAAACTTTAGGGGCGGTTTTCACCCCTTAAATAGAGGATTGGGTCGATAAAAAAATTACATGTCCCTTATTTTTCGATCCTCTACAACATATCTAAATTTCAAGAAAATCGGAAACGGAAACCTCGAGGGGTTTCCTTGTTAGCCAAATATATTTGTTTTCTCAATTAATCAGAAGAACGTTTTACACCGCTTTCTTTTCAAGAAAGCACCCACTGAACACCAAACCTAACAGTTACATAGCTTAAAACTAACAAATAACATAACGTTTGTTACAATGTAATAACCTAACAGTTACGTAACTTTAAGCTAACAAATAACATAACGTTTGTTACAATGTAATAACCTAACAGTTACGTAACATGGAGCTAACTAGTTACATGATATTTGTTACAATACAGTAACTTAACAGTTATGTGGACAACATGGAGCTAACAGGTTATATAACATTTGTTACTATCATATCTATATAAATGTAGCATAACTTTGTTACTCTTTATCTTACATTATGTTACTGTCCTCATATTACTGTGTATATGCAGCACATATTTGTAACAAAACAGAACTGCATTAGTGCTGTCATCTATTTTATTACGTCATCGTCATCGTCATTGTCATAATTCATCGTTAAATGTCATAAGATTAATGTATATCATATTTTGTTTACTACTCGTATGAAAAATGTGATTTTAATTCGTACGCGCATATACATTATCAGTAATTGTTTGCTAGTCGAATGAAATCATAATTACATAATTTCATTGAAAGTCTGACTTATCATTTAATATCCAACTATTGTTAAGTACCAAAAAATAATTAAAAATACAAAATTATATAATTTTTTATAAAATTGCGCTATTTCTTTTTTATTAAATGTATGAAACATTAATATTATTTTAAGGTAACTGAAATTATAACATTAATATAACATGTTACGTAACATGTTACCTTAGGGAGTGGGAAATAATAACTATCATCTAATGTCCATGTTACTTTTATGCTACATAACATGTAAGTTTCGAAAACGTAACATTTACCCAACAAATATGTGACTCATTTGTAACATTTACCCAACAGACATGTGTTCACTGGGCGATGCATAAGAAAACCAAAATATTATTACATGTAATCATTGAAATGTCATAATTTGTATTGTTTAGAAATTATAATAGAAAGAGAAATGATTTTTTATTATCTAAACTCACACTACAGTACCGAATCAAAGGATTCATTCGTAATGGTCATTTTCAGGACTGTCCTGATAATAAACGATTGGCAAGAAAATCTTTCAAGACGGTATATAAAATACAACTATTATAACCAAATTCAATACAAAGTACAAAGACCGGCATAGAATGAAGTTAAAAATTTGAATTCCAATAACTACTTCATTTTTTCTTTCCTTCTTATTCTGCTGGCGATAACAGAAAGAAAGTGGAATCCAATCTCTATTAAATCTGACATATACAACAAAGAATTTATTCAAATTAAAAGTTAACATATTCCAGAATAAGGAATCAAAGCAATTTAATAAATGTGTTTTCTAAAGAAATTGAAATAAATTAAACAAACCTACAACATAATTCTCTTAACAGATGATAAAGTAATTTAAAACCAATATTCTCCACCAGAATTAGAAAGAATTGAACAAAGTAAAATACTTTTATTGCGAATTTAGCATAAACCAGACTACACTATGTGAAAAAAGTAAAATTAAGATTTACACAAAATTTATTCTTGTTGCATGAATTGGGGTTGGGGCAAATCAGGTATTAAATAAAAAAGGAAAATCGTCACCTTAACAATGAAAGTGAAACCAAAGAATTCAGAAGTTCCATAGAGGCCCAGATCCTATGTTAGGCCTTGATGCTCTACAAACTGGCAAACAAACCAGAAGTTGTGGTAAAAGAGAGATCACATGTGTCAACCAACGGTATCTCACATACAGGAGGAAGAAAGGCATATATAAAAAGACGAGTACTGTGCATAAGATAATGAAAGAATGCAATACGGTATATATTGCCATAAAATTAAGCCTGATGGAAACATGATTACAGTACCCCCATCCATTAGCTAACATATTCATTATTGAGCATCAAACATCCATATCCTTCCGGGATTTTCAGGAGACTTCTGAATTCTTTGCTGAAACTTAGAATTGTACTGTCTTCAAGCATTTTTATCATAGGTACATGACAAACAATTAGCTAAAGAAAGCATTATAAATAGTTAATTAAAGTCAATACCTGGCCATACATTGAAATTTTGCAGACATTGACTAAAGTCACTGATTGTGCCTGACAGTTTAAGGACACTTTTAGACAAATAGATCTACTTATATATCATAGATAAAATAAAATCACAAAATTAAATTATCTTAAATGGTTAACAAAATTCAAACCAAAAGAATATAAGTTTGGCTATGTTACAGGAATCTATTTACCTGGAGTAAAAATTAATACATACTTTCCCTAGCTGCTGAATATATCGTGCCAGGAAGCTTTGGATGCTGTTTCGCAGTTTTGGCAGCGATAACAATGTTTGCTCCATCTTTTGCTGCTTTTAAGGCAATACTTTTGCCAATGCCCCGTGAACCTCCAGTAATAAAAATAGTACGTCCTGCAAGTTTTCTGAAATATTATTAACACATTACCCAATGGAAGCCTAATGATCAGCTGTCGGATACCTGTTATCACTATTTATCCCCACATTTGCTGGTAAATAATATGCTAATGTAATTGTTTCAAATAATATTTGCGATAAATATTACTATAATCAGGTAAATATCTTAATACTATTACATGATAATGACTAATATACAAAAACATACAAAGTAGTTTCACATACTGGTACACCAAAATCCTGTCCATTTATGATAATATATGAACACTCAACAGACGTAACTAATTACCAGAAAATATAATTAATTCAACAAATTCAATCAATTATTAGTGAACACTGAAAATCATCATTCAATCGCCTATAATTATGCATTCTTACCCTGTATTAATCATATTCGAAACAATCGCGAGTAACTTCTGTTACCAACTGAAGTATCAAGTAATTGAGAAATTTTTTACGTCAAATAAACGGCAACATCGATTAAACTGTCATTAATCGAACTTTGAGCATTCGTAACAGTACAAAGTACAAGCAAAGAACTCAGAAGTCTCCATACAAGCCCAGTTCCCGTGTTGCCGCTTGATACCCAATAAATAGTCACCAAGTGGAACGCTAGATGGCAGCACGGACGACCTGAAGCATTACAGAGCGAGGAAAAGAGCATGGACGGCGTGAGTTGCCGTCGGGTGGGCATATCAGTAGGCCTATTCTCTAACTCGTAACGACAGCTATCGTTATCGTTAATCTACCGAAGCGACACCGTAACGACAAAACCTATTCTATAACTTTCTTGAAGCGACAAACGTCGTTAATGTAGCGACAAATGTCGTTATGGGTATCGGTAGTATATCGAGCCCTAAAAGACCTCTCGCTAAGAGCGTAACGAGTAATGTCGAAGCGTTAACCAATGGGAATCCAAGAAAACCTCTTCTCTCATTGGTTCTATCGTGACGTTTAAAAGATATACAGAGACTCCCAACCAACAAGCTTTAATTAAACGCAATTTATGAATTTAACCAAACAGCAAATTTAGCTTTTGTAATTATTGACGTGGGTATTAATTTTGCGTAAGTTAAGTAATATAGAAGCAGTACATTCTAAGGTATGCATAACCTTTGTGTGCATGCAAATGTTTAAGAGTGAAGTTATGTTTATTCAATATATCTTAACATAATTTGTGTAAAATGTACGGTATATGTATGCACTTTCAATAACTGTGTTGTTTTTCTATTATTTTATAGAAACAATGGCAGAACATTTTCTCGAGTGGGAACTTATAGTACTAGAAATTCGAGTACGCCAATTAGAAAGACGNTACTTCTGCGCGGGAAAAAAAGTGAGTAAATTCAACTCATTTTCTGAGTTAAACATGGCGATCTCAATAAACGAGTTGGTTCAACTTACATTTAGTGCAAAATCACATTTTGTAGTTGAATCAACTCCAAACTTGACTGAAACAGAATTGATAGCTCCAAATCTAAATTGAGTCAACTGGTTTATTGAGTTCGCCACATTTAACGCAGTAAAATAAATGAATTTACTCTCCTTTTTTTTCAGCTTACTAAAAAATACGAGAAAACATATGTTTGATGAGGATTGCATATGATGTTCTTAATAGCAGATTGTATTTTCTATTGGAAAAAATTCTTAATGGCATTCAAGGATATTTATCAGTTATCTAAATTTGAAACCAACTTGCTGACTGACTGACTCCAGGTTGGGGGTCAATAAATACAAAAAATTAGAAATATTAGGTCGACACTAAAGAAACAAGTTTTTTTTTTTTCCAATAGAAAATACAATCTGCTATTAAGAACATCATATGCAATCCTCATCAAACATATGTTTTCTCGTATTTTTTAGTAAGCTGAGAGTAAATTCATTTATTTTACTGCGTTAAATGTGGCGAACTCAATAAACCAGTTGACTCAATTTAGATTTGGAGCTATCAATTCTGTTTCAGTCAAGTTTGGAGTTGATTCAACTACAAAATGTGATTTTGCACTAAATGTAAGTTGAACCAACTCGTTTATTGAGATCGCCATGTTTAACTCAGAAAATGAGTTGAATTTACTCGATTTTTTTTCCCGCGCAGAAGTAAAACAACATAAATCTAGAAATTCATGAAAGAAAACATAAATGCTAGTCTATGTGAATGTCAGTCTACTTATAGGATAAAGGCACATACTTGGTAAACGCATCGATGATCACAAAAATATGTCGAAACCCTCTACCGGTCTTCTCCAACGGACCCAAATGATCTACGTGAATCGTATTAAATGGTAACTTATTCTTCTCGATATTATGTAAAAAGCCTTCTCCCTTTCCACTTACCGGTGAGTATTCGACACACTTTAGGCAATTAAGTATATAGTCTTTAACTTTCTCTTTCATGCGAGGAAACCAATAAACCTTTCTAATATTCTCCAAAACCTTGTCGATCCCTACGTGACCTATGTCATCATGGCACGTTCGGATATCGTTATTCTCCATCTTTTCTGGTACGCAAAACAATAATTTTCGCATCTTATCTTTCCTATAGACCAGCCCATCTCTCAATTCATACAATTTGCTTTCCGATTCCTCCAGTTCCTTTCGTATTTTGCAAATATCCGGGTCTCGATCGTGACAGATAGACAGTGTCTTCTCAAATGAGTTTCCTTCAATGATAAAAATACTATAACACCGACTAAGTGCATCGACATGACTCATTCGCGTCCCGGGCCTATGCTGCACCTGAAAGTCATAATTTTGCAAAAACATGGCCCATCTCGAGATACGAGGATTAATGTTTTGCTTGCCCAGAGTCAGCCTGAAACTGTCACAATCAGTTATGACCTTAAATTTCCGACCAAATAAATAAATATGAAATCGTTTGATCGCATTCACAACAGCTAGACACTCTAATTCGAAACTGTGGTATTTCGATTCTGCGGGAGTGGTGCGCTGACTAAAATAAGAAATCGGTTTCAATTTACCATCAGATTGCTTTTGTAAAAGAATCGCGCCAAAGCCGCTCGTGCTCGCATCACAGTGCAGCTCCGTTTCCGCTTCCGGTGAATAAATTGACAAAACTGGCTGACTAGACACATACTCCTTCAAAACATTTAAAACATCGTTCTCTTTCGGTCCGAACTTAAACGTAGCACCCTTCTTAACCAAATCATATAAGGGTTTAGCAAGCACAGATAATCCCGGAATAAATCGTCTAAAATAACTCGCGAGACACACGAACCTATGTAACTCCTTCGTATTTCGAGGAACGGGGTAACCTAACACAGAAGCAATGTTCTCATCGCTAGGACGAATACCTGACTTACTTACGCAATAGCCTAAATACATAACCTTAGTTTGCATGAAAGTACATTTGTCGATTCTAAAACGCAACTTATATCTGCTGGCGACCCTAAAAACTTCGCGTAATATCTCCAAATGTTCGCCAATCCCCTCGGTTGCCACGTGGATATCATCCAAATACAATAAAACTTTTCCTGCCCTAAGTAACTCATCGAAAGCCGAATTCACATATCGTTGGAACACGCGAGGCGCATTACATAAGCCGAATGGCATCCTCAAAAACTCAAATTGTCCTAGGGGCGTCACAAATAATGTGTATTTCATAGATGATTCGGCCATCCTTACGTGGAAGAATCCGTCCTTTAAATCCAAAGTTGTATAGTACCTCTTATATTTCAGACGGTCCAAATTGTCATCGATAAGTGGCGTCGGGAAATTATCCCGCACCGTAATTTTATTTAATTCTCGGAAATCGACACAGAGCCTTAGGTCTCCTGTCTTTTTCCTCACTAACACGATAGGGCTCGCATAAGGTGAACTGTTCGGACGAATTATTCCCCTGGCCAGCCAATCATCAAGTACGCAACGCAACTTTTCCTTATCGGCATAAGCCAATCGTCTAGGTCGGAAACTTATCGGCTGTTCGTGCTTTAACGAAATGGTCATCTCATACTCGAGAGGAATATCGTTCCTTTCCTGCTCCGAAGCATACTCGTCTCGATACAATTCAATAATTTTCCTAACTAGCTCGTCATTCAGTTCAGGGTTTATTTTTAACGTCTCCCGAACATTCTCTGGTTCATCTAAATAGTCAACATGCATAATTTCGCGAACGACATTATCATATCCTTCATCTGGCTGCTCAGAACCTCGTTTTGAGACATTCACGTCGTTTCCTAGTACCACATTCAGATCAGGATGGGACGTAAAGTCCCGGCCTAACAAAGCTACGCACGTCATAGTCGTATCAGGAACCACGTGAAATTACACACGAATCGGAATATCATGAGTCTCACAAACGACGTCAAAAAGACCAAGGATATGCAATCTCGACCCGTTAATACCGCAGAACTGATGATCATGAGCTTCCGTTTCAACATAGGAATCAAACGGCACATAGCTACGCTTTACCAAACTAATTGGGGACCCAGAATCCACCATCGCACTCACAAAATGTTTACAATTTTTACCGCGACCATCGGTCGTTACATAAGAAATCGGCACCATATAAGGGGCGGGCACTGCTGTTGGCTGCACAATATAGGCTGCCGTCGATGTTGTTGGTGCCAAGGACGTTGCAGTTGCCGCCGACGATACCGGCTCCTTACGAGGGCAGTCTTTGATGCGGTGTTCGGATGAGCCGCATCGGAAACAAAGTCCACTTGTTGACCGAGGTTTGGTGCATTTTGTCGAGACGTGACCCGTCTCCCGACAATTGTAGCAACGGATAGCCTGGTGCAGTCGCGTTGTACCACTCTCCTTGGAATCCTTGATGGGTACTCGATCACCTCTGCACTTAGGATCTCGATCACTGAACTTTCGCGAATTCAAAATTACTTTACCAAAAGCATTCAATAAATCTGACTTCGACTCAAACCGCATCATGCGCGCCTGGTCCCGTAAACGCTGATGTGGAACTCCTTCGATCACGTAGTCAATGATCTCATCCTCTGAAATAGGAACTCTGTTTCCTAATATGATTTTATCATGAAAATATTGAATAAATTGCTCACTAGCCTGCCAGTGCCTTGCCTCGAACTCCTTACGCAAATCCAACTTCGCAGGTCGATGGTCGAACATGTTCCGCATTCGATCCATTATCTCCTCCGTACTCAAAGCTACATGTTCGGCCTTTGAGTGGAACCAAGATAAGGCGAGGCCCTTTAATTTGCTGCTTATCAGAATCTTGGAGGCGTTCTCGTCCAGCTGATATGAGGAACGCAGTAGCCGAATTTGCTGATCCCACTTCCAGAACGAGTTGCTCGTTCCATCGAAATCCGGCAAGAGCTCACCGATCGATCGTATACTAGGAGACGAAAAACCTCGTGTGTTATTACTCATGGTACTGCCAGAATTACTATGCACACTAGGTTGCTGTCGTCGCAACAGGTGAAGCTTCCTCTGAAGAAGCTCCCTTTCTCGCCGTAGCAACTCAAGTTCCCGTAACAAACTAACATCCCTGTTTGAATCGCTCACATTCCGCACTTCTGACGCCGGTCGGTCAAAAATTCGAGGTT